TTTGGTATCAATTTTCTGTGTTAAAATGTTTGTTACTCCCTGTCCTAGACCTCTTGGATTTAATTTCTTATTCTGCACCCGTCAACTTTGTGAAAACTGTCGGTTTCTCTGCAGAAATATTTGTTTTCACTTTTTTCAAGAGTGGTGTAGCACTAAAGCAAGTGTATGAAAGTTATGTATTTATGTGCTGTGTGAGTGATGTTTAATTATTAAGACCTCCGATATAAAGAAAAGGTCATTGTTTAATAAAAAATGTATTTAGGTTTTTTTCACTTTTGGCAGTTGTCGCAATATACTAATCAACAACAAATTATGTTTAATTGACGTCTTTAATACTGTGAAAGTTATGGTGTAGTGGCAGTGTTGCTGGACTAGTAATCCTGAACCACAGGCTGATTGATGCTCTGGGGGCAGATGGTGAAATTTGAATTCAACAAAAATCTGGATGTAAAGCTAACCTGATGGTGTAAAACTCAATCTTGTTCTTCAAGGAAGGAAATCTGTCAGTCTTACCCAATCAGGCCTACATGTGACTTCAGGCTGACAGCAATGGGGTTGACTCCTAATTGCCCTCTGAACAATTAGGAATGGGCAATAAATGTGGCCCAGCCAGTGACCTTCACATCCCATGAATGATTAAAAATAGGTGTTCCAATAAACTTAAGCAGATTAAATAAAAAGGAATATACACCATACAATTATGTAATTGAGGGTACACACGTAGATAAGAATGAAGAGGAAGTTGAACATAGAACATTACAGCGCAGTACAGGCCCTTCGGCCCTCGATGTTGCGCCGACCTGTGAAACCAATTTGAAGCCCATCTAACCTAAACTATTCCATTATCATCCATATGTTTATCCAATGATCATTTAAATGCCCTTAAAGTTGGCGAGTCTACTATTTTTGCAGGCAGGGCATTCCACGCCCTTACTACTCTCTGAGTAAAGAACCTACCTCTGACATCTGTCCTGTATCTATCACCCCTCAATTTAAAGCTATGTCCCCTCGTGCTAGCCATCACCATCCGAGGAAAAAGGCTCCCACTGTCCACCCTATCTAATCCTCTGATCATCTTGTATATATCAGGATATATCAATGTAGAATTCTAGAGGTGACTACGCAGGGACATGAAGAGAACCCACTTCTGGAGATATTATGGTGGAAGAGATGCGATTGGAAATGTGCAGCATTTTCATGCACTCAAGGGATCTCCAACATTGCATTCAACTCATTGCGTCAGATTTTCTGAAGAGTAGCAATCTCATACAGATTGTTGCTGCAGCCCTTCTTTCTTACAAGAAGAGAGAGTTCCATATATCTGACAGGAGATTCTGATCAGGGCTCTTTCAGAATATGGAGCCATACATCCATTCTGACAGTTTTCTTGTAGTGCAGAACAGTCAGGGGGAGGCACATGCTGTTTTTTTCCACTGTAATCAGCTGCCCTATTCTGATATCCAAGCATCCAGAATCACAGGTGGCCACTTTGATAGCTGCTCTCAAACGGTAAGTACATAAGGTGGTTGTGAGGTCAGGAGGTCATTACAGATGGATAAGGGGGCTGAAAAGCAGGGTGCCAGCTAGGTTGGGATAGCATGCCAGCAGAGTATGTTGTTAAGTGTACAGGGTATCGGGATGCAAGGTGGGAGAATTCAGGGAGTGGAGTTGGGTCTGAAACAGGAGAAAGGAGTTGGCTCCTTCGGGGTGAAAGGGAGTCTAATCTGGAGATGATGAATGGGAGGGTGAAGTGTGGAAGTGTTGGGTCCATAGCAGATGAGAAGAGGGTGATTGGGTCCATACCAGGGAAAGTGGATTGGTTCGAACAGCTGAAGTGAGGTTGGCTCCATAGGGTGAAGGGTGTCAGGTTAGGAGCAAGCAAAATGAGGTTAGCTTCCAGGGAGCAAAGTGGGGTTGGGTCCGGAGCAGGGTAAGGGCTGAGCGGGTGGTGAGGGCAGAAAAGGTTGGGGGGGATGGTAAAGGGAGCATTGAGTTAGCAACGGGGAAAGGGAGTTGGCTTTCAAGAGTGAAGGAAGATCAAGTCCAGAATGGTTGAGAAGGGTATGGTTCGGTCCAGAATGGGTGAAAGTGGTGGTCAGGTCCACAGCAGGTGAATGTGGGGTCAGGTCCGATGGTGAGGAGGAAGGACCGTGTCTGGCAGGGGGGAGGCAAAGGTGTTGTGTCCTAGGTTGAGAAAAAGGAATGTCAGCCAGGATGTAGGGGTGTAAGTGATCTGGTGGAGATGTAGTTGAGCTGTGTGTGAGGTTACGAGAAAGTCAGTAGGAATTTGATAATATATTTAATGGTCTAACTTCTTCTGTGTAACTATTTACTTAGTTTCATTGGAACGCTCTGAATTATCCAATTTAAATGGATACTTTTGGAGGGTTCCAGGCAAGGGGGGAAATCACCCACTGAAATCTTCAGTTTTCTCCGTATTTCTTTCAGTGTGTGCTACGATGGAAATTCCACATGGTCCCCGTACACAACTCTCATCTATGATGAAATAGTGACTATCTGGTCGTTAGAAAATGTAGACCATTGTTTCTAGAACATAATTTGTAATGATCTGCAGAGAAACAAATATCTTTGATGAAAGTAAATTCAAAATTCAAGCTAATAGATGAAAGGATTAACGACAAGATTTTCACGTGTTTACAATTGAACTGTAGCAAGCAAACAATAACATTGACTAAACCTTATTTCTTGGGCAACTTGAACCTGAACTTCTCTTTTAACTTTTATCATAACCGATCAACACACTTCACAGGTACACTGACCTCCCCCAAAATGGTAATTTGACATTCTTGATCCCAGTGATTCTTAGTCCCCAGGGTTTACTTCTGTCTCTTTCAACCCAGAACTACCTTTTGCAGTGCAGATCTCTTTTTGTTTCAGACTTTTTCCCTCTAAATAAATCTTCCACATCAGTTTCAAATCCTCACAAATGTGTTCTTTTCAGCCTTAGTGTGAGCCCCCACATGCATTCCTGAGTGGTGATCCAAGAGATTTTTGACCTAAAGCAACTTAATCCTTCCTGGCTCCTGGCAGACTGCTTGTGTCTGTTTTTTCAGGAAATCTTTTAAACAAAACCTCCTTCCTCAAAGCCAGTCTGCATGGCAATATAAATCTCATGGGCCTGGTATCCATGTAGAAATATAGATTGGTTATCCTTAAGACCCCATTCTCTTTTGTCTTAGAAGTAAATTGACATTTTAAAGCATTACTATGAATAACCTGACATTCTCAACACCTTAATTTGATTTGATTTGATTTATTGTGGTTACTTGTACCTAAGCACAGTGAAAAGCTTTGTGAGCAGTACAGGCAGATCATAGTAAGCAAGGACATACAGATCATAGGGTGCTTAGACATATACACCACAGAAAGCGTATTATCCGGGTGCACAATGACCTGGTACGGCAACTGCTCTGCCCAGGAGTGTAAGAAACTACAGATGGTTGTGTGCACAGCCCAGACCATCACATAAGCCAAACTTCCAACTGTGGACTCCATTTACATTCTCGTTGCCACGGAAAGGCTATCAACATCATCAAAGACCTCTTTCACCCCAGTAAAGCTCTCCTACAACCTCTCCGTCAGGCAGAAGATACAGAAGCTTGAACACACGCCCCAACAGGTTCAAGAACAGCTTCTTCTCTGCTGCTATTTGACTGATGAATGAACTCTCTAACTTCAAATAATGTCGATCTTGTTAATGTTGTCCTTGCTTCGCACACCTCCTGTGCAGTGTAACCTGTATGCCTCACTCTGTCTAAGCTCCCTATGATGCATATGTCCTTGCTTACTATGATCTGTGTGACCACAAGTTCAAGAACCAAAGAAAGTGTATCAGTAGCAAGAGGTAACCAGGTGTAGAGCTGGATGAACACAGCAGGCCAAGCAGCATCAGAGGACCAGGAAAGCTGACGTTTCGGGTCTAGACCCTTCTTCATAAATATTACGAACGTGTTTCTATTGAGGTGGGATCTGCCTTTTTGAAGTTTATTTCCATCGGTCCAGGATGGAGGGATTATTTTACGAGGAAAGTTTGGACCTGTTGAGCTTTCTTACACTGGAGATGTAAAGATCTAAGTAACTTTGAGTAAACATTATTTTTTGGGCAACTTGAACCTGAACTTTTAACTTTTATCATAACCGATCAACACACTTCACAGGTACACTGACCCTTAAATGGTAATTTGACATTCTTGATCCCAGTGATTCTTAGTCCCCAGGGTTTACTTCTGTCTCTTTTAACCAAGAACTACCTTTCGCAGTGCGGATCTCTTTTTGTTTCAGACATTCTCCCTCTAAATGAATCTTCCACACCAGTTTCAAATTCTCGCAAATGTGTTCTTTTCAGCCTTAGTGTGAGCCCCCACATACATTCCTGAGTGGTGATCCAAGAGATTTTTGACCTCTAACAACTTAATCCTTCCTGGCCGACTGAAGTGTGTTGATCGGTTATCATAAAAGTTAAAAGAGGCAATTTCAGGTTCAAGTTGCCCAAGAAGTAATGTTTAGTCAAAGTTACTTAGACCTTTACATGTCCAATTCTGGATCTTGAGCAGACTTGACCGAGTGCATGCCGAAAGCATGTCTCTCCTTCTGACGAAGCTGAAGAGAATTTTTTTCTGTGAGTGTTGTGAATCTTAGCCATTCTCTTTCCCCAGCGATTGCTGAAGGCAAGGTCTTTACATATTTTAAGGCAGAGTCAGATAGATTCTTGATTTTAAAAAGGAGTTGATGATGATCAAGGATAGGGTGAGAATGTAGACTTGTGGCCACAATCAGATCTGCAGTAATCCTCTTGAATGGTAGAGTAGGCTGACTGGCTAACTCCTCCTCCTAAGTCTTATGTTCGTATATTCAGAAGTAAATTTGTGACAGCAACAAGGAATTATTGTAGTGAGAAATATGTAATAATTAAGGACCACAGTCTTTGTTAATGTTCATCTGAAGTACGAAAGATGATGAGACATTTTATTTTATTTCAGGGATGGAGAAGAACTAGACAGTCAGGGAGATGCAAGCAGTCAACCCGACACAATCTCCATTGCGTCACGGACATCACAAAACACTCTGGACAGTGACAAGGTAGGTGATATTTTGTAGTTTCCAACCAACCAACACTAAGCATTGACAGGTAGATTTCAGTGCAATGAATTGGCTCCAGAAATAGTACTCTCTACAATTAAAAATGCAGTGATTAACCAATGAGTAGGATTTCTTAACTTATCACATAGATAAACTTGTAACCAGAAACTGAAATGTTACTCGATGTTTATTTTGCTACAAAGATGTCACTACAAACATTGAACATTTAACGTGAATGTGCCATTGATGTGCTGCAACATATAATCTACTTAAAAGTTGTAATTCATGATTATTGTGTGGGTGTTGAAAAGGTGTATGTAAAAAACAAAATGCTGGGTTACACTCTTTTACCTTCAGTGTTGTTCACAGAGAAAAATATTACTTGTAGGAAATGTAGGTTGGATATAGAATAATATTTTTGGCCTATAACAGGAAGTAAGGATGTTTAAATGGTTGAAAGCCTGATCTCTGATTTCAATGTGGCATTTTATTTCCATAAGCCCTCTTGTGGCTCTCAATTTCGCAATGTTTCAGTTGAAAGTGACTGAAGCTTTAGAAGTACTTCAGAAAACATCTGGAAGGTGGTCAACAAGAATGCTGTTGGATATAGTGTTGAGACCGATGAAAAGGGAAGTACCAAGTTTGTTCTTTATTTGTATTGCGTTAAATTGGGTGATGATTGAAACATCATAATTGGTTAAAGAAAACAGTAGCAAATTATGGGATAGTAGGAACTGCAGATGCTGGAGAATCTGAGATAACAAGGTGTAGAGCTGGATGAACACAGCAGGCCAAGCAGCATCAGAGGAGCAGGAAGGCTGACGTTTTGGGCATAGACCCTTCTTCAGAAAATGAATGACGCTTCTGAAGAAGGGTCTAGGCCCAAAACGTCAGCCTTCCTGCTCCTCTGATGCTGCTTGGCCTGCTGTGTTCATCCAGCTCTACACCTTGTTATCTCAGTAGCAAATTAAGGTTCTGGTTACCAATCTTTTGAAGTGAACAGGAGAAGGCATATATCTGGACACTGGGTAAGGCAAAATGCAGATCTGGTGTAATTCTTCTGTAGTCAGAAGAGCTCCTCAGCATCCTGAAGGTCTTCTCTTAACAAAACTCCTATCATGGCAAAATTTTCAAAGCTAAACTTTGCATTAGTGATCTTCCAGGGAAGTAAATTTGTGTGCAGTAAACAGAAGCACCACCAAATCCCTTTTCAAAACTGAATGATCTTAAAATGTAGAAGCAGAAGTAAGCCATTTCGCCCATCAAAATCTGTTCCCCATTCAGTGAGATCGTAGCCGATCTGATCATCCTAGACTCCATTTTCCTGCTTTTTTCTCATGACCTTTGACTGCATTGCTGATTACAAATGTCTCAATTTCAGTCTTTAATACACTTAACAACCCAATATCTACAGCTCTCAGTGGTAAAGAACTCCATAGATTATTACCTTCTTGAGAGAAGAAATTCCTGTACGACCTCCTTTACTCTGAGGACAACAGCCCCAGCTTGTCTAATCTGTCCTGGTAACCGAAGTCCCTCATCATAGAAACCATTCTGGTCGTTTTTTTTTCGGCATCCTCTACAATACCTTCACATCATTCCTAAAATGTCGTGTCCAGAACTGGACAAAGTGTTCATGGGATAGCATGGTCATTTGAGTGGGTGCTTCTGCTCCTTTGCAAGTCGTCCCAGTCTTGGGAAGTGGTCATATGCTCAAGATTATGAGCCAAGCCCAACAGAACCAGAGAATGTTCCATGAGAATGGCAGAAATCCTAAAATCTCAGGGGACATTAGCTGACCTCCGGTCGAAGATCATTTGGCATGAGGACTTGTGTTTCGTTTAAGCACACGTGGAGCATAACGAGTAATTACTCTTCTTTCTGTCATCCTATTGTTCAATGAAATTGAAAATTGCATGCGATTATGAGGAAGTGAAGAGGAAAATGCAGAACTGCAAGGCTTCAAGAAATGAGCAGTGGACCAATTTCGTGCTGAAGCAGTGTTGGATAAAAGTTCACTCTAAACCCCTTGTTTTTTTATACTGTTTGCTTCAATTTATAAAGCTCAGAAACCCATGTGCCTTACGAACCACTTTCTCAGCCTTTGCATGCACCTTCAACAATTTGTGTACTTATAAACACAGATCCCTCTGCACCTGCAATCACTTCAAAATTCTATCCTTTATTTTATATTACCACTCCTCACCGTTCCACATAAATGCATCAGTTCACACTTATTTGCATTAAATTTCATCTGCCTTGTGTCTATCCATTCCAGCAGCCTATTTGTATCCTCTTAAAGCCAATCTCAGTCTTCCACAGAAGACACAGAGCAGTGATACTAATATTGATCCCTGGGAAACCCACTATGTATCTTTCTTTTCTGAGAAACAACTATTCACCACTGCTAAATAAAAACCAAAAGAACTGCGGATGCTGTAAGTCAGGAGCAAAAACAAAGTTGCTGGAAAAGCTCAGCAGGTCTGGCAGCAAGCGATGTTGGACTTTTTACCCTGGGATTCATTGAAACAAGAATAAGGAAGCCTTGCTACAAATTTTGCAGGATTTTGGTGAGACTGTATATGAAGTAATTTGTGCAGTTTGTGTCTCCGTATGGGAAATATATACTTACTTTGGAGGCAGGACTGCAGAGGTTCAGTAGACTGGTTCCTGGGAGGAGAGATATGTCTTATAATACAAAGCTGAGTAAATTGGGCCTGTGCTTATACTCTGGGTTTTAGAAGAATGGGAGATGATCCAGTTGAAAACATAAGATTCTGAAGGAACTTGACAGGATAGATAAAGAAGCCGTTCCGCAGGCTGAGAATCTGGATGGGACGGTATAAACAGAGGAAAAGGTCTAATAATTTAGGACTCGGATGAGGAGAAGCATCTTTCAAAGAGTTGTGAATCTTTGGAACTTTCTACTCCACAAGAATGTGGATGATCCATTGTTAAGTATTGGCCTCACGGAATCGAGGAAAATGGGAAATGAATAGGAAGGTGGAGTTGAGGCAGTAAATCAGCAGTGATCATTTTGAGTCATGAAGCAGGCTTAAGGGATCACAGCATCTCTTCCAGTTAGTATTTCTTGTGATTTTATGTTCATTCTCAAACATCCTCCCAATGACTTCTTCTCTGGAAATCTCACACATCATAGAGTCATACTGCATGGAAATGGACTGTTCAGTCCAACCAGTCCACTCCGAACATATTCCCAAACTAAACTAGTCCCATCTGCCTGCCCCTGGCCCATATCCCTACAAACCTTGAATCAGAGATAGTAGGAACTGCAGATGCTGGAGAATCCGAGACAACAAGGTGCAGGGCTGGATGAACACAGCAGGCCAAGCAGCATCATAGGAGCAGAGAGGCTGACGTTTCGGGCCTCGACCCTTCATCAGAA